TGGACGCCCGTAGTGACGAACATACGCAACTGCATCTTGAGTGTACTCATGCATATGACGTGGACTGCCTGTATATGAAGATGGCAAAATCGTTACTCTTCCAACGTTAGTTGTATTACCGTCATTTACAACTGCATCTCGCAAATGAACGTATTCTTCAGAGCAAAGCTTGGTCTGATTCAAACGGATGAATATTAAACGTTCTGTTTCGATTTTTGCATGCATATCTAAGATGTTTTGTTGAAACAATTGACGGCATTTCAAAATGTGATTGTCTTCATTCTCTCGAATCATTAATCGGTATGAATAATAGTTCATTGCGCTGCATTTCATATTTGTTTCTTCGCCACTGACTGGATTTATCATCTTAACGTTGAAGTGATATCCATCGGCACCATCCCAAAAAATGATTGGATATTGCAGGGCATCGTAGCATCGATGAGTTTCTGCAACTTTTGTCAATTGATCGGTTCTCCGATGAAGAACAATATCTCTAGGTTGGAATTGATCTCCGATGAAGAACAATATCTCTAGGTTGGAATTGATCTCCGACTATAACAATTGCTACTTCGTCTATAGTTGGAGCATTGAATCTTCGCACATGTTCTCCAGCAGGCGTTTTGTCAGCATGAATAACAATCTTGTGTGTATCAGATGGCATCATGTCAATTGCTGTTTTGAACAAACGGACTAAATTTTTTTTTTCGTGAAGAAGCTCTTGCAGTTGGGAAACGATGGACCTTTTTATGCCGGTAGAAATTCCGCAGCGTGCATTCAATTCATCATTGCCATCACCGATGAAATACATTTGTAGGAATTTATGTTGACCATCTGGGAACGGAAGCAGGGAGCCGGCTTTATGATCAATTTGTCCTTTCACTTTGAAAGTTGGCATGAATTGAGCTGTTATGATATCTGCGCCGAACGACGTCATTTGGAAGCATGAGTTGTATTTCCTGATGTTAGATAGGAAATGCTTTGATTCGGCGGTATATCCGGCAAGCAAAGTTTTTAATGGCTCTGGCGGTTCTCCAAGTTGAGGCAGTTTAATTTTTCCGGCGGCGCAACACATTCCTTTCGTTTCTCCATTAAATTTCAGAGCCTTGCAATAAGGACACACTTCAGTCATAGTGCCGATGAGAACATGCCGGCCTATGACAAGACTGCGATTTCTTGTTAGACACTAATGCCTGTGACAGTAGAATTGGAGCAACATTTTCACAAAGTAATACATGTACTTACAAAGCTAAGGTGGGATGGACTCTCAGGAAACACCAGCCACTGCAGATATCACCAATACATTGACAGCCACCAAAATGAGCCAGCAAACTTGCATACCACCTTTACAATCAACAATGAGTTTTACTAAGAAAAAGGGAGCCTTCACATACAGGACAGGAAATCAACGTTCATCGCCATTCATGAAGGATCTATGCAACAGCCGTGGGCGAGGCACTACCAGTAGAGTGACTCTAGGAAGCCCAGAAAATTCTGACAGTAAAACTCCAAACATGGCTGCTTAAGACAACACACACCACTCTATGCTAGAGTAGATCCCAGTGCTCAAATAGCATTGTCAGGAGATAGCTACTGATTGGAAAGAGGCTTGAGACCTGTACAATTGCAAAGAAGTTCACTGCAGCAAAGGGGAACCTTTTTGCCTCATTACAAGGAGGAGGTGTAACACTCGCACGCATGAATGTGTATGGGAGATAGAGGGTTAACTTTTCCTTAGTATGTTATGTATATATCTATCTATCCATAATTATTCATTTTTAGTATGTGCCGATGTATCCTCACTCTTTCACGTATGCCTGTGTATGGTTATTCTACTTTATTCAGTGAAAGTTTCTTTTTCTATTCTGTAAATTCTAAACTTGTTAATATTTCATTCTGTTTAGTAGAAACAAGGTTTTCTTATTTAACATTTTCATCGTCATTGACAACTAGTTTTCCTTCAAACTTTATATAATTTTCGTTTTTGTTGTACTTCCTTGTTTGGAAAGCATGTTAGACTTTCTTTTTCTATATGAAGCAGGTGATAATTTTTTATGGGTCTTATTTGTCCTTTTTCATTTTATTTGCATAATTTCCCACTCTTTGCATTTATTTCTTATCTTCATTAAAGGGTTTGTGTATATGTGTGTGTAGTTCTCTATTGCATATTTTTGTTAGAAGGTTTTTTTAGTTGCATGTTGTATTGTTTCTTTTCCAAACAAAGTCAAATGGTGTTTATTATGTCTCCGCAGAGAGAGACATACTGTTTTTCTATTGTTTCTTCTTTTCTTTTTCCAAACACTTTTCAATCAACTGCCATTCCTTCAATTCTTGGTGGATTAAGTTGAAACTTAATAGGCTTATACCTTGGTTCAATACGAGCCGACACCTTTTTCATTCTTTTAAATTAGGCTTTTTAAAAGATTATATAGGGTAAAATGACAAACCCCCTAAAATGTCTATTTTAGTCTCCATTGTGGTCATGTTTACAGCAACGACGATTGGAATTGGCATATATATAAATTTGCATGCCCCTAACACACTAACATACAAAAAAGCTGGATTTGTCCATTTTGAGTCTTTTTAGGGGGTCATAGCTCACTAAAAAGTATAATTTGGGGTCAATTACTCGGCCACCTACTCTGCTCGTGGGAAAATACTACAACTCTACCTAAAGTTGAAATGGGCCAACTGTAATGTTCTTTACTGACGAGTGGGGGCCCGGCATGGCCAGCTAGTTCGACTCGCAATCTGCGGGTTCGAATTCCCGTCCCATCAAACATGCTCACCCTTTCAGCCGTGGGGGCGTTATAATGTGACGGTCAATCCCACTATTCGTTGGTAAAAGAATAGCTCAAGAGTTGGTTGTGATGACTAGCTGCCTATTCTCTAGTCTTACACTGCTAAATTTGGGACGGCTAGCGCAGGTAGCCCTCGTGTAGCTTTGTGCGAAATTAAAAACAAAGAAACAAACTGACGAGTGGACGACGTATGTTACAGTTAACAAATTTTGTGCACAAATAACCAGTCACGTAGTAACGCCATACACAAGAGAAAGGATAAGAGGTATCATGCATGCTTAAAGCATCTATTCTCTCTCTGTTTTACCTGGTTCCTTTTTGAGATTAGTTCTATAGAGGCCCACCCTGAGAGAAGGAAAGGTGCAGAGCTGTACACGAACTTGCTAGAATGTAATTGTGTGTCTATACAAGTATGCACACTGTTGTTTCTTTTGATTGTGAATAAAGAAGGTAAGGTATTTTTCTTTTAAGTTATTCATTGACCGCAAGACATGTAATAGTAATATTCCTTAAAGAATTTCATTGTCATGGTGACTGGATTCTTCAACAAATGGATTGATGGTGAAATAAATTTAGGTGTGGACTGTTGAGACAGTTCATATAGTGTTCTATATTTCTGAATTATTTCGTTTTTAAGTTTCAAGACCTTGTGATATGTAAACCATAAAATGGATGTATTGTTACTAATTTTTTTTCTTTGGGATATGAAGAACACATATTATTGTTGTACAGAGTACTAAGTTACCTTAAGATTGCTCTCTTAAATTAATCAATAAGTGGCATGTCCATTAATCTGTAACTGGATAAATTGCTAATTTGCACATCTCTAATATGAATTACTCATGGAGTTCTGATGTGTTTGCAGGACCACAAAACCATTGCTTCATGGTCCTTTTTGGAGCACCAGAGATATTACGTGCACAAAAACTGAGCAGATGTTGAAGAACAGGACGAAATCTTTAGAGATTGTGAGAAAGTAAGGATTATCAAGGTTCTATGTGGACTTTATGCAAGTGAATGCGGAAACATGCGTCAATGTCTTTCCACTATCATGGATGTGCAAATTCCTAGATTCATTAGAAGGTGCTGGTGGTTTATTATTAGGTCTGGCAACTTGAAAGGTATGATCGCAATTGGATAACAATGTTGGAAGAGTACAATTTCATTTTTTAATAATATCCTGGTTAGAAGCATGGATAATACCAATGGATCATTTTGCTAGCTTATGACAACGGGTTAGTTCCTTGTGTGTTCCGATCCTGGACACCATGCAGCAGCAGTGAAGATGAAGTCAATAGTCTTTTTTTTTTTGTCTGTTTAGAGGATAACATAAATACACTATGTATTTACATATAATGGGCTCTTAACTCTCCTTATTTAATTTTAAGCCTGGCTTAGTTGTATTTATTTTGCGATTTTAATTCTTTTAGCATGTTCAATTCACTTTTATTATTCTGTATTTGTTTTTTTAAAGTGATTCTACTGGATTTTATGACTTTATCAAAACGTATGCAACTTAAATTTTGTATTCAGCTTCTATTAAAATCCGTATTTTGTTTTGATTTATATAGTTTTAATACTACACCGTGTTTAATTTCTATTATGTTCAGTGTGTAATTATTTTTTGTAATCAGCTTTTATTGGCTTAAACTGTGTTGCATTTAATTTCAAATTTGGCAGAATTCAAGTTAGTCAGTGAGTTTTACTTTCTGATTATTTTGTGATTTCAGTTTAGTTTTATTCACTTCATTTCTATACTTTCTTCTTAGTTTCAACTTTAACTTTTTTATAAAAAGTATAAACATATAAATGGCTGGGTTTTTACTTTCATAACGTGATTTTAATTTCATCTGATGATGTTTTATTCAGTTTATTACGTTCAATTTTGATTTTAAGTTTTCTTTCATTTAAAGTATGTCTTTCCCCATAGGGAGGAAATCATATTGTATTTACTATGTTTCTTTCTTCTTTACAACAATCAGAACTGCATTGCACTTCATTATTTCTGGGTCAATAACACAATTTGAACTTGGTTTCTTTATGCCAACTTCGTTTGAATTGATAAAAATATAAGGGAATTGCAGGCCAAAATATATGTTTTTACATTATGTGACTTTTCATCCCCTAAAATCAGATGGAACCTAAATAAAAAAAAAAAACTTAAAAGGTTGTTTGGGCATATTGACTTAAGGTACAGGACTGCAGCGTTTCAAGACAATCGATTCAGAAAAATAGAAGTGGTGCACAACTGTAACTGTTGGAAAGAAGAAGAAAGAAACATGGAAAGTCTGCCAAATAAAAAGGGGTGAGTGTCACAGATGAAAGAACTTTAAACTTCACTCTTCCTTAGCTAGTAAATATCATATATTTAGGTGAGCGTATTTACACATTTTTCTAAGTTGTAGGAGCTCTTGATGTTAACCCATTGCCTCACTATTTATTCTTGAAAATTTTGACCTACTTATACTATTTTTTACAAATAATGAACAACTCATAATACATATTACAATGATTATAAGACATTGAGCTTAAATAAAGGTTTATATATAAATCCAAATTAGCTAGGAACAACTTTTTGAATAGGTATGATGACATGGTAAAGAAGCAATGGGTTAATATTTGATTTCCTTCTAAATATGAAATGAAAGGTCATACACTGGTGCTAATCCTCTGTATTGGACAAATATTACATACCACAATGACTGTTCAGTGGAATTTATATAGCTGCTTGATTCTGTTTCTGTGTCAAGCCCTCCTGCAATAAAGTTGTATAATTTCAAGGGGTGGTACAGAGACTTGTACAAGTTTTTATCATTTGGTTGTTTATCTCCCTTGAATGTATAATGGGAATTAATGTTGATGTAGGTAATGTGGGATTACTGAACATCACATTAGGAACTTTCTTTCTGACTTATCAGCATAATTTATCATCATTCTATTTCCTGTATTGGTCTTGTGAAGATGTAATTAAATTTTCCTTTCTGCCTCAATAGCCAGCTAGTTATAATTTAAAGAAACACCTATACACTTTGGGCATATTCTCAACCATACAAATTGTGCCATTAAATCAATAATCAATATGCAAGAGAGTCCAAGTAGGACATTTTTTTGGTTTATTGCTATAAAATTATATTCACAGAGAAATAGATATTACAAGATTAACTAATTTCAAACAATCAACACATTATATTTTTAATGTTTTATTTCTCTCCAACAATAAATTTTAGGATTTTTTAATGTTTACATATCATTCTATGGAGTACTTTTATGTTAATAAGCTCTTTTTTTTTAAAAAATAAAAAAACACAGTAAAGTGGAAAGTAGGAAAACTTAACTATGTTCATTTTAAAACTAGACCTTTCTTTCCCAAAACAGACAAGAGAGGAATGTGTCCATGAAAATTTAAAAGTATCATTTCAACTGTAATACCAGGCTTCTTAAATAAATACATATCACAAATGCAAATATTAACCTTAATTTTCTGTTAATCTAGTCAAAATATTCATTATTTCAGAGTTAGCAATTTTGATGAGTTACAAGTTATGCAGACTTTTGGTCAAAATACTCCACTGATACAGAAACTACAGTGAATTCTTATCTTGTCCAGTAAAGGTAGTTACATACTTGTAAATATTTGTTGTCTCATATGATGTTTTATCATGCTAATTAGTTTTGGCAAGTGGAATATCTAATGTAATACTGCCATTGTACAATAGGTTATTGACACAGAACATTATGTTAACTGGAACAGTTTAATAATTACTAACAAGGAAAAAAAAACTGAAGAACCAGAAGGATCATGGGATCCACCAACATCAGAGAGAGAGAAAAAAAAAACTCAACAAAGACCTAGGATTAAAGGTCAGCAATCAATGATTATTATTGGTTCAAAAATAGAATTGAACTAATCATTCAAGTAACAGTTCTTTAATTACATTAATGAGCTCTCTGTTACAGTTGTGCATACTTAACATCAGCACCTACATACAGAAGATCCAATGAAGATACACACATATAAATCAAAATTACATTTAATTAGCAGTTCATCAGGAATGTTGTCTGTTTTAAAAATAACTTTCAAGTTTCCACTATCCATTAGCTACATCATTTAAACATTGTATATTACACTGCTATTTATACAAAGTAAAGAAATTTTGAGGAATGTTTCTAATTTGTAAGAACAAAAAATAAAGATACTATGCTTAATTGTAAAAAAATATTATTAGCATTAATCACATTATCCAGCAAAGCATAATCACTTATAGATACAAATTATCACCCAATGTACACTGAACTCCCTTTATCTACTGTTCCTTAATATTCAGAACAGTCATGCTAAATGTTCATACAAATTAACACTATTTAGTAATGTATATTGTCTCCATTGAAGTAATGCTACACCTTAATATTGCTTTCTAGTATAAAAATTACACTAAATTACTGTTATTCTTTTTGTATATTGTTAGTTACATTGAATTACTGTTTCTTATACTAGTTATTTATGTTGAGGAAGAGTGATGAAAAGATAGAAAAGTTTTGAGCTGTGGTGCTAAAGAAAAGTACTGAGAATATTGTGGACTGAGAGGAAAGTGAACAAACTGGTAGTGGGAAAAAACTGGATGTGAAAGACTGTTTGAAGATATTACTAAAAGAAGTGTTTTGGGCACACAGTGACAGGAACTAGCTAGAGAAACAAATATCATGGAGGAAAAAGTTGAGGGAAACAGATAAAGAAGACAAAGAGCCATAAGATGGAGTGATGAGATAAAACAACTGAGAATGTTGATTATGGAAGTACCAAAAGTTCAGGGAATTGAGATGAATGCGGACAATTTTTGGCAGCCATAACAATTTTTGTCATGATATAAAAGACTATTTAGTGTAGATATTATTGATATATTTATTTTCTGAGTGAATATTTTATGATTGTTTAGCTTTGTTCATAAAAAAAGAGATAGAAGGAATTATTATAAGTAAATGTTATGACAAGTTTAGTTACATAAGTTGGTAAGAGTCCTACATTGTGTTTATAACTCACTGATGTCGAGATTATCGAACATAGTGTGAAAAATACATTGAAATCGAGAATATAGAGATTTCTAGAAGGTGGGCAGATGATTAAGTGATAAACATATAAATAGTGTGAGACAAGTGTAAACAGCAGATAGACAGAGTAAACGAGAAACCAGAGAATGGGAAGTACAAGTGCAGCCAAAGATAATGTTAGAAAATGCAAGTTAACCATCATAGGAGTGGATAACTTAAAGGTTGATATGTTTTCTGACACTTTAGGAGAATAATTTATCTTGTCAAAGGGTGTTCTAAAGCAATTGAACCTGCCTGTGTGGACCTTGGCAAAAAATGGACGATTATTGGAAGAAGGCCTAAATATGAAAAAGCAGACAAGTATCTAAAGTTCAGGATACAACTGCAGTAACTCAATGAGGCAGAGTAAGTGAATTATACATGGAATACTAGTGCAATAGAAATAGAGAAAGGTAGTTCGGCTCGGCTTGTCAACTGAAATTCTAAAGGAATGTGGACTTTGGACAAGAAGAAGAGAACTATATATAGTATTTATGATATGCCTATGATCTCTCTATATGTATATACATTATTTTGAAAACAAGTGGAGTGCATGCTGTTCATTTATCTTTGAATTTATCACTAACAAGTCACAGACACCTACTGTAGAAGAATCTTAAGCCCAACAACAACACAATATATATTTATACTCTTAAGAAGTATAAGCAAAAGCCTTTAATTGACAATTGGCAAACATAACTTAACATCTGACAAATTGCAACAGGGATAATATGATAAATATATATATCCACAAACACATGCTGACAAGATTATTATTATTATTATTTTTTTTTTTTTTTTATTTTTTTTATATAATCAGTACAGACTTTGGTTTAATGATACACATTTGTGGAGATGAAACTTACCTAATGCAACAGTGAATTTGATCTCCACACAGGTGTATCAACAGACCAAAGCAGATACTGATAACAGGGAAGTCCTGTCAATCTGTGTATCGACAGAAGCTCAAACACCAATATGAAATATATGTTCTACCAGGCTTAAGGAAGAAACATTTTTATTGGGAAACTAAAATCATACCAATAAATAGAAAACACTTTTTAGTTGGGAGACAGATGCTCTACCATACCTTTGTGTTTTATTTTATTAGAGAAATCTAAGCTTATTAAGATTTAAGAAAGCCTCAAGTTAGCAATGAAAGTGTTATAAAGCTTCAGAAATTTTGGTTTTGCCAAGAAACAAAATCCTATCTGTTTTGATAGTCCTCTCTTCTTGTTAAAAGTTGCATTTCATTCTGCTTGAGAGAATCACTTCAATTCAGAAATCAACAAACCATCAAGTTCCATAATCTAAAGTTACTTTTATAAAACTTGGCTCAACCAGCCTCCAAAAATTGTCATATTAAAGAACCTTAAGTTCTCTCAGGCTTTAAGATAAAAAAAAAAATCCAGCTTTTGTTAATACATTTAAGATAACATCAGGTTAGTCCTATGTTTATTTAAGAACATGAAATCTGAACATGACTTAAGTCATTTTCTTTGTTTCTTGAGAAAACTCCACATATGTTTATTGACCTCTTCTGCATGATCCAGGTGAACCCAGTGAGAAGCATTCTCTATGATTCTGAGAGTGTAGTTATCAGTGTAACGAGCACACCCTGTAGCTAGTTCAGGGACCAAGTATTTGTCTTTTTCTCCCCAGATGACCAAAGTTGGCGCTTTGATTCTGAAACCATCATACTCTTCTTGAAGGTCCTTTCTCAGCCAGCCAATTGCAGCACGGTAAAAGTTTATTGGTGGAGTAAATGCTCCTGTGCAAATATGAATAGTAACTGCGTTCTTAAACTGAACAGAATGAATGAATTATGTAGACAAAAAAAAACAACGAACAATAATGTCAATAGATATGTACAAAGCAACAAACTACTTACATTCATAGTGCTGTAAGAACATGTTTTAAGAACAAAAATCTAAACTAGAAATATATTATTGAAATAACATAATATGACTTGATAAAAAATATATCAAAAGGAACATTAAAAAAATAAATTCACATAGTTACTTACCATTACATTTCCTAGTTATTTTTCAAGACACACACATAACTTCCTATCCTTTTTGTTGATCTTACTGCTTTCTCCATCAGATTAGTGGTAAAAATGTGTGTATAATATGAAAACTCATTCATGTGACAAGCTGTTGTGATTATTTATGTGTTACAATCCTCTAAAGAAGAATCCTAGTTCTATAAGCCAAATGTATTTTTTTCTATACATCTGAGTTTATATCCAACAAGGCTACCTGTTATTTTTCACATTTTCTTTCCAAAACTCCTCTATGTAGGGAAAAGGGCAGGATTTGTGTAGTACAAATAAATACATATTTGCATTTTGAATATGTTATCTTTAATCTAATTAGTTAAAATCCACAAAAATGCATAGAGGTGGGCCAGCTATATGAATTTTAAATATTTTATTTTATGTCTACCCTAACTAATAAATGGAATCCTCAAATATGCTTGGATGTGAGGCCAGAGGAATCCGAATGTTGCTTGTCACTCCTACAGAAGGGGACCAATCAAAGTCATGAAAAACTGATCATAAAAGAAAAAACAGCACCATAGTAACAAAAGCATCACGTAGCAAGAACACATTAGTACAATGCTGACAATCAATAGGAGTACAACTGGACACCAGTAGTAATAGTAGTAGTAGGATGGATTTCTAAATTTCATTTCTGGTCCTACAACAAACACCTCCAAATAGAAAGAGTTACAAAAACTAAAACTAATCTTTGGAGAAAACGGAGCTTCTATGTGTAACACAATATTTTGTGTGTGGTAAGAGTTCACAACTTTCAACATGAAGATTGTGCAGAGACCAATTCAAGTGGTCAAATAGCCCCTAAGTTGGCATAACTTTAAAATACTACATCATTCTAAAAGAATGTATGCAGGGAATGATGACCAAGTTTACAACATCTGGGAAAAACGTTTTTCAGAATAATATAATGAAAAGTGAAGAAAATTTAGAAAATATCACATGAGAATGAAAAACAGAAACAGACTCTTAATTAAAGAAAATATTCTATTAAGGCAAAAGCAAGTCATATCACCAAAGTTTGATTATCAAGAACAAACTTTTCTGTAGGAGATATTCCATGTGGATAAAAGAAATACAGAGCAGTCAAAATGACATTTATACTAGGATGTAAAAATACAACATAAAAAGTTTTAAAAAGGCCTACCTTCTACAAAAAGAGATGGTATTAGGTGCTATGTATTGTTATGACAGCAGAAGTCACGTGACGCTGCTAGCGCATGCGTGACTGAGTTTCTCGAACTATCAGGGAAGTTCAAGTGTGATCTAGAGATACCTCTTTGTTAGTATATAAACCTGGCAGAGAAAGCCTGCAGGAATGAATGTATGATAAAGCGAACAGTAGTCAGGGTAAACTAGCGCATGCGTGACTGAGTTTCTCGAACTATCAGGGAAGTTCGATTGTGATCTAGAGATACCTCTTTGTTAGTATATAAACCTGGCAGAGAAAGCCTGCGGGAATGAATGTATGATAAAGCGACCAGTAGTCAGGGTAAGTTTTGGGCAAAGCTATTGAGATTGTGAATCGCTGTGGTTTATAGCATGTATTATAAAAGTTGTTAAGTTTAATGTGATGAGAAACATACTGACAGTGGAATTACTGTGTACTAGAAGTTTGTATCAAGAAATAATAAACTGGTTTAATCAAGAAAGGACTTGTATCGCTGAAGTTCCTAGGAAAGAAATTCTACCAGAAATTAACAAAAAAGCAAAAATGGGCCTACTGCTATAAAGGTTTGTAAATAAAAAAACTGGATTTGTACAATTAAAATCGTATACAGAATTGAAGGGAAACTCTCTAAAAAAACAGTACTTGAGTGTTACATCTTGTGAACTAATTTCAAACAAGGAAAAATTTATTTGAACTGTGCTGTTTAGACGTTTGAAAAAATTACATTTAACACACAGTTCATTGGAAAAGTGGATAAAGTAACATTCAATGTAATTACAAATGTAACTGAAAGTCATTCTAAGTTAATCATGGCATATTTGGGGACTTGATAAAAGCCCCTCACATAAATGTATACCTTGGTACAGTCATAAGGTTAGGAGATGTCATCATGAAGTGAGAAAAAATGTATATTGTAAGACATTGGAATCATGACAATAAATTCCAAACATTACAGCTTTCCTTGATATAGTCATAAGGTTAAGAGGTGTCATCATGAAGTGAGAAAAGATGTGAGATATTAAAATCATGACAATAAATTCCAAATATTACAGCTTTCCTTGGTACAGTCATAAGGTTAAGAGGTGTCATCATGAAGTGAGAAAAGATGTATATTGTGAGATATTAAAATCATGACAATAAATTCCAAACATTACAGCTTTCCTTGATACAGTCATAAGGTTAAGAGGTGTCATCATGAAGTGAGAAAAGATGTATATTGTGAGACATGAAAATCATGACAATAAATACCCAACGTTACAGTTTTGCCAATTTCGATCTGTTTTTGAAAATAAGGAGTTATAACAATCCAACAGACAATTAATTTATCAATCTTCAGTCTGAAATGAGTCATGACAGATTTCTATGTTGGAGTATAACAATGAAGAAATCCAACTTATAAATAGCTCATTTAACTGTTTTTCTTAAAAATCTAGAAGACCCACCCAAACAGATGAAAAACAGTGTCCAATTGTAAGTAGAGTTGGACAATTAGCTTGATTAATCAATTACCTATGAAAATTATCACATCAGTTAGTGTCACATAAAATAATCAACTAATCAAAATGTTGCAGTTATGATTTCTAATTATTTTCTAATAATTCAAGGCTGTTCACCTTAACCAATTAGTGTTTTATTATTACTATTTCCAATTATTACAACCATCCAAAACTCGTGTGAGAATATCTGATTAATGAGACCAACGATTAAATCAATTTTCACACCCAACTAGTCTCCCTAGTTCTATGACAAAAAACCAAAATCAACAACAAACTTAAAAGGACTGATATGAACTAAGAAAAGCCAGTATCAAAGAAAGATTTATCAAAATGCTAATAACTAGAAGTGGCAAGAGAAAATGTGAGCAACTGTGAGGTTGGATATAGATTTGCACACATGAAATTATGATTTGACTAAGATTCTACATATAGAGAGTGCAGTACATGTGAATAATCAGGTGAACAAGCTTGTGCATCATGGAAAATACAACCATTAAATATAAAGAGTAAGTAAAAAGATCAACAAAAACAACCTGAACAAGTAAGCTTAAATCTTGACAAGTAGTAAAGATGATAAGTTATTATTATGGTATAAGTATGATATCTTATTTAAATTAGAAATTGAAGATATGAGAGGGAAGTGTCAAACCTTCCATGAAGAAAACACACCTTCTCCACAAGTAAAGTTGCAACATTTCATTTATAAAATTCACCAACATTAAAGTGTACTCACACACACACATTAATCAATTATTACAGAAAGAAATGAAAGTACAAAAACAGAGAATAAACTGAGGAAAATGATAAAGTGAGGATGTGTTTTTTCTATGAAATAAAAATGAAAGGAATAAACAATGAACTTCCTATGGGTTACACTTTTGAAAAAAGTGGCATAGCAGCTAAACAATACAGTACCACTTAACATTCTTTACTTGTTTTCTCTTTGCTATAATAAAAATTACTAGTTATAAAACAATCAATAAAAAAAAGTATTTTTTTCACAATTTCAAATTCCACTATTATTAAGTGCAATGGTACTTAATAGTGGGATCAGATGAACATAATTACAGTGATTTGCCAAAGTAGGGATAAAATGTTTTAAGTAACTCAGTTTTGTAGTTTTGACATTCTTCTTTCAATACTTTTTGTAGCATTAAAACTTTTTATATTACTATAGCTAGCTAGGTCACATATATATCGATCCCTACTTGTCTTGTTTTATTATAGTTGTAGGCAATAAAGTCTTATTATACCTACTTTCCATAATCAAAATAATTGTTATTTCTGCAAGAGTAAATTGTAGATATAAGTAGTGTCATGTTGCCAATTACAGCTTTTACATTTTCAAGTAAAGAATTTTACATTTATTTTGAGATGTCATTCTAACATTATGAATTACATATTGTGGTTCAAGTTTCTGATAATCTCTCTCATTGTGAAATACTTGCCTCTAGAAGTGTTAAATATTTTCTTGCTACAAGTTTGGCAAACAGAAAAATAGGCTGACCCACAAGGGATTTAATTGTGTTGATTAATTTACTAAAAAAACATACAACTTCCTTTAGTTTTAGTTTTATAAGTTACTCAGTTTCCACATTCGCAATTGAAAAAAAAAAAATTGAAGTTAGTACTTGATATACAAATCAGTTGTATGGAAATGCAAGCCAAAGGTAATGATAATCAATTCAGCTAATTAACAAACATACCTGGTTGACTGAAATAATACTTATAAGCTTCAATCTCCTCCTCACTACAAATGCTTCTTCCATCGGAACAAAATTCCTTATCAAATACTGCCAAATCTTTAGCACAAAAATCAAGTTCTGGTACCAATGGCAGTTGGAAAAAGAAAATGTACCTGCAAAATTGATCAATCATATCCACATCAATATCTCATTTGTGAAACAAATGGAAAAAGTTTTTGTACAAATTCTATCATGTTTTATAAAGTATTTTGATTTTTCTGCTTGATATTTTCACTTTCAACCTACTTAACTGTTCAGCATTGCTTTTCAATCTTACAAAAATTTTGTTTTGAATGACAGAAACATACTGTTAGACATATGCAACTTATATTCAAATCCAAATTTTGGTCATGAAATGCCAAGATTGAAAATGTTTATTATTTTGTCATATACATAAAAACTAATATGCACTAGTCATGTGCTGTTAAGAAAAGAAATTTTTTGGCCCTTTTGCAACTGGGTGATCTAACCTATATAAAAGCCAGTGTATGTCATGTCAAGCCACATCACCCTTGATTTCTCGAAACAGGAGAGTCATAAAAGCCAAAATGCATTTATCCAGATAGAATAGTTTCATTACTGTCTGTCCATTATAATTTTAGTAATAGGGGTGCAAGGGGGCTGTTAAGGGTGTGTGTGTATATAACATGAAATCTAATGAGTGTTGTGAATGTTGGTATAATAAGACTGAAG